CTCACAACAACTCTGGGAAGTAGATGCTGTAAATGATTCCCATTTTACAGTTGAGGAAACTGAGGCAGACAGAGTTTAAGGCACTTGCCCAGGGTCACACAGCTAGGAAGTATACAGATATGGATTTGAACTCAGGTCTTCCTGACTCCAGGCTCAGTGCATTTTTAGATGCATAAAATTAAATACATAGTATTACCAAGGAAACCAACTGTACTTAAATAGTTATCCAAATATGAAAAAAACCAAGCTCACCAACCCCAGGCTGAAAACCTTTCCTCTACAATAATTAGCTCTAATAGTTAATATAATAATTAATTATAATAGTTAGACGAGGATATGAGGTCACCAAGCACCTCGAGTGGCAGGAGAGCTGGGGGCAGGAGCAGCAGCTCTGTGGATTCTACCACACACATACACATACTCACCCCCAAGAAGCTAGGGAGCTCCCGTGTCACCAGCTCCTTCAGCTCTGTCTTATTGAGCTTGAACTTGTCTCCCTCCTTTCCAGAGTACTTGTGGAATGTGGACACCATCACGTCCAGAGCCTTTTCCAGGGGACTTGTCATGATGCTGTCGTAAGGGGCACCTAGGGAGGGGAAAAGTGAAGATGCCCATTGATTTAGGGCAGAGTGGATGTGGAATGTGGTGGGCTACTTCAAGAATCAGTGATGCCATCCATTTGGGGACCCCCTCCACTGATGAGTTCTTTCAGTTCCGCCAACATGAATAGTGAGTGATTCCTATAGAAACGGAACTGAAACCAGCATCTTTCTAGCCCAGAATAAGCTTCACAAAGCCCAACAGTGGGGTGAGAAGCCAGAAAAGTGCTCTCAAATCAGCACCTTTTTAAGACAAATGCATTAGGAGGGTTAGAGGCAGGGAAAAGAAATCTAGGAGGAAACCCACACTAGTAATTTTTCCATTTTAACTCATTATTCTTTTTATTAAGGTTCTAGACTCAGTTTTTTGTGATCATCTGAAGGACCTGAGGCATCACCCAGAATGCCCCACCCTAGGTATGGCTCCCTGTACAGACAACCTTTTAGTAGAATAAATGTCCTAGTCTTAGGGCGCTGCTATGGCAGCCCAAAAAACATGGCCAACTGGCAAGCTGCTCTTCTGGAGGTGAGCCTTCAGAATTTAACTGGCTTAGAAAACAATGTGATGAAATGGAAAGTGCCCTGGATCTGGATTTGAATTCTGCTTTATTACCTGTGTGACCACGGACAACTTATTTCTTTTCTCTGGGCACAGATAAGAGGCCTCAGTGACCATCTGTCTAGTTTAGTTGTTCCCTGTCTATGGGCTTTGAGTAATTGCAATGACTCAACATGTATAATATAGATATAATGTTATTGATATATGATAATATATCTATAATAGATATATAATATATAGTAGGCAAGCAAAATTAAAATCTTATACATCTTAGTACTTTTCAATTATAGTAGGCTCATTCAAAAGTGTTACTGAGTTTTTGTTGTTATCTCTGGGTCAACTTATACTAATGTTTATTCTCTTTTTCCTATATATTCTATATTTTTTCTATAATGAGGTTTTGGGGGAGGGCCTAGAAATTTTTTTGACATTGAAAAAGGGTGCACCTACTCAAAGAAGTTGGGAACCACTAAATCTAGTCCAACATCCTCACTTTATAGATTAAAAAAAAGCATGAACATCAGTATCCCACCCCACTCTCTGAACCCTTCACTCTGGGACTGCCAGGGTCCAAGCTGGTTTCTGCCCTTAAGACTGGACTATTCTGGACACCTCCCTGGAGAGCAGGCTTCTGGGCTCCTCTCAGAGCAAAGCATGAATGGGGCAGGATTCGCCGCACCCTGAGGGCACACACCCCAGAGGCCCGTTTGTTCTGACACTAAAACATAGGCAGAGATAGGACAGAGAAACTAGTCCTGGCCCAAGAAAGGTAAGATAATAAAAAGAAGAGGCCCCTAAAGATGGCCGAGTGGTCCTTAGACTTGCGATCGGCAAACACCGCCCCCCCCCATGCCTGAGAGAGCACAAAAAGACTGAAGAATGCCTAGCCCCACCCTGCCTCAGTTTCCCCACATAGGAGGTTCAGGGGAGCTCTCTTGGTTGGCAGCCTCTTATGTGGGGAAACTGAGGCAGGGTGGGGCCCATGTCTTCCTGTGCACCCCACCCCCCAAGGCACATTACCCCTCTTCAGGGACCAGAGAACATCTACCACTGCATGCAGTTAAGTTTAGGACACATCGCAGACCGTTTCTTAAACCAGTCCTCTGTCCCCACCTCCCTGCCCAGGACTATTGCCCTGAAGTTCCCTCTCTAGTTGCTTTCCCTCCCCCGGTCGCCCTAGGAAGCTATTTCTACAATGCCTGCCCCACCCTAGGCTCCTCTCAGTGCCCAGTCCCACAACAACAACAAGCCAGCAATGGTAATCTCCAGCTCGGTTTTTCCACCACTGGCTCACTCCCTCACTCACGCATTCCCCAAAGCTCAGCCCTCCCCAGCCCATTCTTCTGCTCTGTGCACAGGAGTGGGCGGTTGCTTCTGGAGACTGGCCCTGGGACTGACAATGGAAAAAAACAGCCAGGCAGAGGGAGGGTGAGTTGGGAAGGAGAGGAGGGGGAGGAGAGACGTGGACAGAGAGGATGGGAGCTATCCCTCTGTCAAGAAGAGAGAGCTCAGATCACAGCCACTACGCTGCTCCATAAATACATATGTATGTGCATGAAACACATGCCTACATGCCGCAGACACAGACAGACACGCAGTTCAGGTGCAGAAATGTAACCTATAGCATGCACATAGCACCCAAGCCATATGGTCTTGCAATCTCTCCCCCACTAGGGCACTCCTCCACCCCACCCTGGTATCTCTCTACAACCTGAACCTGCCCCTCTTCACCACTCCCTCCTCAAAGCCTCTTTCTAGCTTCCTCACATCTGGATCTACTTCCCACATCTGGCCCCCACTCAGCCTCCTCTGTTACTAGGTCCTGTCACCCACATCCCCCTCCAAGTCAACCATAACTCACCAAACCAACCCGAGAGGAAATGCAGAGAGGGGAGAGAGAGAGGGACACAGTTGGGAGGGCTGAGCCGTGGACTATTTATACCCCTAGCCAAACCCAGCCTGTGGCAAGGGGCGGAGGGGAGCCGGGACACCCCCTCCCTGATGCTGGGTCAGAGGAGACCAATAGCAAGGCCTCTTCCACCTCCAAGCTCACGTTGGCTGGTGGGTGAGCAGAGCTTACACAGGATGAGGCACTAATATGGGGATAGTTTTCAGTGACTACTCCCCCCCCATCAGAGGGAGAGGACCCTGAAAGTAGAGCCAGACAGTACCCACAGGACTTGAGCCCCCAATCTGAAGGAGTGGGTAGGCCCTCAACCCCACCTTGTAGGAGGGACAACAATCAGAGGGGGGGTATACAGTCTGTGTTAAGTTGTAGGGGAAAGGGGAGGGGGAGCACGTGGATGGAAAATTCCTACAAAGCTAAGAATCTTCTAGAATATTAAGGAAGAAAGAGCCAGAGCACGGACTGATCTGGGCGTGAGAGAGAGGACCACAGTCCCTCTGCTTCATGGGGAGCAGAGCTGTGCTGAGAGTGTGGCTATCCCAGACATAGCCAGGATATATGTGAGAAGGATAGTGGATGCCAGGCTAACTCCAGAGAAAAAGACTTGGAGAATGCTTGGGAAATACTCCACGGAAAGAAAAATATCTTCAAGTACTCTTCTCCCCTGGAGTTTGTGGCTGAGTGCCCAGGATGAGCCCAAGTGGAGGGATGAAGGAAGGAAGGAACACACGAGTATGTGGGATGGGGCTGATTGTCAGGGATGGGGAGGGGAGCATCTGGAATGATACTAAAGGGGGAAAGAGGGACGCATGAGTGCCTAGGACAAGACTAAGTGACAGGGATCAAGGGAAAGAGAACACATAAGACTGAACATGGGGGTGAGGCGGGGTGGCAGAATAGAGGGGGACACAGGAACGTTCGGAATACGGGGACACTTGGATACTGAGGATGGCATCTTGAGGTTACATATCAGGAGATGGGATAGGGATAAAGTATCTTCAAAGTTCTGATAATCAGTTATCAGACTAGAGCACAGGGGTGTCTCCCCAAGATGCTGTCCCCTGACTCTGGGCCAGGGGTGGGATGGGGTATACCACAAAGGAAGAAGAAAACAGGCCATCAACCTTAATCCAGTTAGTGCCACCATTTCAGCCCTGTCAGCTCCCCAAGCCCCAGGCTAGGCACGGACAGCCCCACCCAGGCCCCACCCTCTGCCTCACTGGTACACGCATTGTGGAAGCCCTGGAACCCAGAGGTTCTCCTGAAACCAGATTTGAGAAGTGCCTCAGCTCTCCCCCTTCACAGCCTCCCTCTCCAGCTCACCACCAGTACCTCTCTCTCAAAGACCCCCCGGAGAGCAGAAGCCTCCGGTTCAGGAGCTGTTAACTTTTACTTTGGCGCCATGGACCCCTTTGACAATCTGGTGAAGCCTTTCTTCACAATAATATTATTTAAATGATTGAAAGAAATGCTACATTTCAGTTAGACATTAGTGAAAATAAAGATGTCATTTTTCCCCCTCCAAATTCACTGGACCCCTTGAAATTTGACCCCCAGCTCTAGTTGCTCAGGCCCAACCTCCACCCTATGTGTATACTCTCCATGTTCTCATTCTCAAATCTAACCACAAATCTCTTGCTGCAAGTTCAAAACCGCTTCCTCTTCTTCCAGATCCTCCTTCCTCTAGACAGTGGAACTAAATGAGACCATAAAGGCACCTCCAACCGTCTAGTAATATTAACAAGTTCTTCAAGTACCCACTCAGCTTGCCCTCACAGGCTCAGGGGATCCCAGTTCCTTAGGAGCACAGCTGGAGCTTGAGGTATTAGAGCAGTTGGGGCTCAGTAGCAAAAGAAGCCCAGCCTCAGCCCTACTCCCCATTCCCTTTAAGAATAACCAAACCACCCCAAAGGATGCTGGAAGAACAGCCATTTTTATTGAGAGATCATTCACAGTGGTGAGCACATTAACAAAGAAAGGAATTTCATCCCTGGTACCTTGTTCCAGCTAACCCCACCATCTCTCTGTATCTTCTCTTTACCTCCCCAAAGTACTTTCTTAGTTTATTCTCGAATTATAATAGAATATCACAGGCCTAAGGGGAAGCAACAGAGATGGGAGATTAGAAGGGAAATTACCTTCCTAAGGGTCATAAATCAAACTGAAAGCTGAGACAGATCAAGGAATGTCTAGATTAGGAGACCTTAATGGCTATGTAGTCCAATCCATCCTCAAAGGAGAACCTGGTTTTCCACAGAGCTGACAAGTGACCCTCCAGTTTCTACAAAACAACTTCCAGGCAGACAGGGACATAACACCCAGGTTACAGCTCTTTCTCATGCATCAATTCATTTTATCATTCCCCATCCCTGACTCATCCCACTTATAGGGTTACTAAGGACAAGGAGGATTAGGGGGACAGTCCCGGAAGTACTCATGGCAGTAGAGGCAGAGACAGGCCAGGGCTCGGACATACTCAGTGAAATCCACCTCACAGTCCTTGTTTGTATCCATCGCACTCAAGAAAGTGTTGTAGTCACACTCCCGGAGCCGAGTCTGAGGAAACGTGGAAGAGAGTAAGAAGAAAGTTTGAGACAGGAAGAATCACCTGGCTTTCTTGAATCAGCACAGTGACATAACAGAAGAAGCATTAATTAGATTAGCCATCAAGAGAATTGGGTCTCCTGGCTTTTCCTCTGAGCCCCTGTTGTGACCTTGGGCAAATCATTTTCATCAGTGTCTCTCAGACCGATTGATGTTCTGTTTAATCTACATCGTACAGAAACACTACATTTCATTGTCAGGAAGTCCTTTCTGTGCTCTAGTCTAGTGCTTGAACAAGACATTTGTATACCCTAGGCAGGATGTCCCTTATGTTTAAAAATGGCCCTAGGAGTGTGGCTAGCCATTGAAGGCTTTAAGGATTACATGTATTACAAATTCCCCTATACTGTCACAAAAAAACTATATTTTCTGACATTAAAAAATGTACTATGCTAAAATTTTATTTTTAAAAGTATCCCTTATTCTGTTCTATCATTTATTATCATTAATTAATAATAATCTCACATCTATATAGCACTTGAAAGGTTTAAAGTTCTTTCCTTACAACAGAGGTGGCAAATTTAAATAGAAATGGATCTCAGAGGGCCATATATTGACTTAGAAAACCACAAATTAACATTATCTATATTGTATTGTATTTTTATTTATTTTGTTAATCATTGCCCAATCACATTTCAATCTGGTTTGTGCTGCACAAGTTTTATGGAATGGTTGCAGCCTTGGCTATAAATTCGTTCCTTCCGCCTTAAAACACTCTTTGAAGTAGGAACACACCTACTTCCAAAGGGCATTTCATAACAAAGTACTTGCTCTGATGACAATATTTTCTGTGCTGTGTTTTTGCCTTATGCTAAATCATGATGGCAACTCCTACTTTGGGGGAGTTTCAATTCAAGAATAACGAATTTTATTCCAGCCTTTCTTTCGAATAAATGTATGAGTCCCTAGGCTTCAGTAACCTCTGCTCTTAGAAAGAGGTTAAGTGATTTGCTCAAGGTCATGCAGTTAAGTGTCAGCTGGGATTGGAGCCTGCCTCTCCTGACTCCCAGTCCAGAGATCTGCAAGATGTGGATCCTTCCTCCTACTCCCCACTCTCATCCCATCCCACCCTGCACAAGGCTTCCAGCTCAAAGAATGAGGAGTCATGAGATGTAAAAGCTCACCCCCACCTCCACCACGACCCCCGATTGCCTTTTACCGGAGTTAAGGTGGGCAGCTCCTTCAGCAACAACTCTTTCAGCTCGCATTGGGAGAGTTTGAACCTGTCCCCCCACGCGCTGCATACTTCTGGAAGGTATCCAAGATGGCAGTCACAGCTTGCTCCAACGATAATGGCATGGTCACTTGGGGAACAAGGACACAATTATTCTACAGGCAGGGCAAATGACTGCATGTCGTATCATGCGATACAGCAAACATTTTTATTTATTCATTCATTCATTCATTCGTTTGTTTGTTTGTTTGTTTTTAGTGAGGCAATTGGGGTTAAGTGACTTGCCCAGAGTCACACAGCTAGGAAGTATTATGTATCTGAGCCCGTATTTGAACTCAGGTCCTACTGACTCCAGGGCCAGTGCTCTATTCACTTCACCACCTAGCTGCCCCTAGCAAACATTTATTAAGCACAAACTGTATGCTAAGGCAATCGAAGGTACGTGGTGTAGATAAGACACGATCCCTGCTGTCATGATGCTTACCATTTAAGGAAGGGATAAAAACATTAACACAAACTCTTAAAACATAAATACAAACTAAATACGCCATGTTTTCCAAATACATTAGAAAGTTAAGATATCATCATTTCCCCCTACAACACTATAAGCTCTAAAAGGGAAGAAACAGTATCTAAATCATCTCTCCATCTCTCCCAGATGGCTATGAAAGAATTAAGGTCAAGAGGAGTCCCCTTGAGTTTCTCCTTTCCACATACCCCTTAGCCTCTACCCACTCCCATAGGATCCTGCATCCTCCCAATGACTCCTTAATGTCTGCTTTTACTTTGATTTGAAGTTCTATTCACACAGCCCTTCCTTCCCATCCAAATTCCTTCAAAACCTAGCTTAAATACTTCCATGAAGTCTTCCTTAGCATGGCAAAATGGAGAACACCGACTTTGTAATCATAACCTGGGTTTAAATATTGCCTCTGTCATTTACTACCTATGTAACCTTGGACAAGTCTCTTCCTCTTAACCACTCAGCCTCAGTTTCCTCATTTGTAAAATGAGGATTTTGGATTAGTTTCCAAAAAATTCAACTCTAAATCTATAAGCCTATGAACCTACGTAGTTAAGTAAATTCATCACTTGGCAAGTAGCAGGTAAAGATAGGAAGCATATTAGATTTATTTTCTCTCACATGTTTTAAAATAACTTGGACAAGTATAGATGGCAAGCCTACCAATTTTGCAAATAGCACTAAGTTGGGAGTTAATAGTTAATATATTAGAATAGAGGTATCAAACATGTGGCCCAGGGTCACATGAGGCCCACAACCCTCTCAAGTGTGATCTGAACCAGATTAAAATTTAACTGAAGAGGCAAGTAGGTGGTACAGTGGCTAGAGCACCAGCCTTAGAGTCAGGAGGACCTGAGTTCAAATCTGGCCTCAGATATTTACTATGTCACCCTGGACAAGTCACTTACCCCCAATTGCTTCCAAAAAAAAAAAAGTAATTAGGAAATATTTAACAAAATAAATAAAAATATAGTAAAACATAAATAATGTTAATAGAGATTTTCTAAGTTAATACGTGGCTCAAAAGGATCCTTATGTAAGGTTTATTGATTCTTTCCTTTTCTATTTGAGTTTGATACCAACGTGTTAGATGACAGGATTGGGATCCAGTAAGACCCAGGCAGACTGGAACTATGAGGCATTGGAGGGTTTCAGGCAGAAGCCAGATGACTATTGAAGATCAGAGTCAGAACTGAAAGGAATCTAATCCAAATTCTTATCACAGGTGTTATAGAAGAGATTACTGCTCAGGTAAGCCTGGACCTAAATGATTTCCGACATCTCTTCCAGCCCAGTTTCAATGATTCTATGATCTCTTTGCCTCTCCCTTCAGATTCTGTTCTCCCTCAGAATTCTCCTACCTACCCCCATGGCCCTAGCACTTATAAAGGGGTTTGGCCCATGGCTTCAGGGAACTGACTCCATTAGAGACCTTAACCCTTTTGTTGTTCAGTTGTTTCAGTCGTATCTGACTCTTCAAACCCCATTTGGGGTTTTCTTGGCAAAGATACTGGAGTGGTTTGCCATTACCTTCAGCTTGTTTTACAGGTTAGGAAATTGAGGCTCACAGGGTTAAGTGACTTGCTCAGGGTCACACAGCTAGGACGTGTCTGAGACCAGATTTGAACTCACAAAGATAAGTGTTCCTGACTCCAGGCCCTACCTCCCTCAAATCTGGCAATTTTTGCCTTGTGAAGACCTTATCTCAATAGGAGCCCTACAGCACCCATCTCCCTAGGGACTCCCTGAAAAGAGAAGGGATGATTAAAGGGGGCACTGGAGGTATTGAATCCCATTAGCATTTCACCCTCAGGTCCTTGGAATAATAGCCAAGGAATAAGTAAGAATTAGGAATGCTGAGGATCCCAAAGTCTGCCCTTCTTCCTCATTGTTCTCTTTCCAGCCTCATGAAAGGCAGGATGATGCAGTGAAAAGATTCTCATACAGGGCAGCTAGAGATGAGGTTCTAGTCCTCCCCCCACTGCTCCCTTGGGCAAGTCACAACCTCCCTGGTCTCAGCTGCCTCATCTCTGAATTATGAATAATGATATTTTTACATGCCTGAATACAGGATACTAGAACACACTTTTAAGGTCCCTTCTAGTTCTAAGATACCCCTTCAGAACCCATACCATGTTGGGGAACTATCCTTCTGATTTGAACAACTTTGAGGGAGTCTTGGGAGATGGGTTCCTGCATGCGGACACCCTTCTCAGACCATATTAAGGGATAGCTCTCCAACTGGGAAATCCTTTGGGGATAACTATATCACCAATCCCAGGCCAGGAAACCCCAAAGCTAGCCAGAAAAGTAGTAGTCATTTCCATTCGTGCAAGGTGACTCATACCCTGTTCCCTAAGGGGGAGAGATATTTCTCTGACAAACAGCCTAGCACCATAAGTCTTTGAACCCTCTCTTAATCTGGCTCGTTTGCTAACTTCTGCAAAGAGGATCGCTATTGAGGCTATAGCCATAGGCTGGGAGGGAGCAGGGGCTTTCCATAAGCTCTTACCCTTGCCGGCAGATGGGGGATACCCCAGAACCTAGAGGAGAGGCAGGGATTGCTTGGGCCAGCCCTGTCCCCCTCAGCTAACCTCTCCAAGCTCTAGCCAGGGAGTTCACAGATCTCTCTCAACCCATCCTTGAGCACTCCCTAACTGAACAGGGAAAGAGAGCCGAGGGAGCTATGTGAAGGCAAGTGCTATCTCTGGGCACTGGCCACCAAATCCAAGTCTTTTTCACAACTATCCTCACTATACCCTGAGATCTTGAGTATGATCAATAAGCATTAATTTAAGTGTTTGGTACTTACAGACAGCCTGAAAGGTGATATGTTATAGTGGGTAGAGCCAGAAAGACCAGAGTTCAATACCTATCTCAGATACATCCTGGCTGTGTGACCCTCAGTAAGTCACTTAACATCTCAGGGTTACAGGCATCTCTCTAAGACTAGAAGGCTCATTCCCTGTGTCAATGAAACCACAGATCCAGGGTCTGCCCTCATCCTTATCCATATTCCTATGTGCCTGGTACTATGCCAGGCTCAGAGAATACAAAGACAAAACCCAAAACATTTCCTGATCTCCAAGAGTTTATTTTCTATCAGAGAAGCCTGGACAGCTGTTCTCTGAGACCGTCCTCTCCATATCCCCACCCCCTTCTCCAAGTTTGTCCCCACTAGTGCAATCAATTGCTCTGCCTCTCCCACCCCATGCCCCATGGAATCCCTTGTCCACCATTAAGGGTCTGGTGGTAGTATGGACAAAGTATCCTCCACAAACCACCTCACCTCATTCTCAACCCAGAACACTTACCACTAGGCTAGCTTCTCAGTTGTGATAACCTAGAGACAGGGGGTATCCCTATTTGTAGGCTTCTGCCTGGGAAAGAAGGCAATTACAGGTGGCCAGACTAGCAAGGATAGTATTTAGGGACTCCCCCCAGGGGCACCTTTTATTAGAGACTCACACCTCTTCCCTGGCTGCCCTCACACATCAAAGAGCTCATTCTGCCAACCTCAGCACCATCCATTCTTGGGTCATCACTGAGCATCCAATTTGCCCCACAGCTCCTACTTTGCTCAGATCCCATGGAGTCAAGTTTGGCCACCTTTTCCAGAACATGGACACAGGCAACCAGTGGCATCTCCACTGGAGAGGTCCCTCTCTTACATCTATTTCCCCATCCCCAGGGAGGGTTAGCTTATAGAACCCAAGAGAGGTCACAATTGAAGCTCAGCTCCATAGAAATCTGTAGGACAAATGCTCCCCTGCCAACTTCATCCCCATGATCAACAATTCTCATGCACAGGCATGCAACCCTTTAGAAAATACACTCTGAGAACAGGGACTGGGGTGGGGATGGTGCCTTTCGATTTCTTTTGTTAAGCTTAGCACAGCTCCTGGCCCATAGTGAGTGCTTAATAAATGCTCGTTGACCAAATAAAGAACGGGCCAGGTATACTGGCACACCCTGGGAGAGTATTCCTATGATCTCATGCCACTCTCATTCCTCTGCCTTAAGAGGCAGAGAGAATGTTTCCCATTTTACAGAAGAAACCAGGGTCCAAAGCAGGCCAGAAAGTTGATTGCCCAAGATATTCCAGCAAAGTGTAGGAGGACAAAGAGAGCTGGGGGAGAATCGAGAGTCCCACAGCTATGAGGAGGTTCTAATCCTAGAGGAGCCAGACAAACTAATGATACCTTGACCTCATCCACAGCCCCAGGCCCCAAACCCTTCTCTGTGTCATCGTCTCCTGGAAGCTAAAACCACCCTGGAAGTAGTAGAAGGAGGGGCAGAGAAGAGAGAGGGAACAGCTGATTATTCCTACTTTACAGCCAAGGAAACATCGGGAAAGAGGGGGAAGGAGGGGGAAGTACACAGCAAAGGAGGAGGTTAGAGTCACTCACTTCTACATCAAGATTTATTCAGTTTTGGTAACCCTAGTTCTGACACTAGAGACTGCTCTTCAGCCTGAAACAGGTTACTTTTTACCTCAGTGCCTTCGCTAGTAAAGTGAGTATAATATATACATATGTACACACATACACATAAACATATACGTATGCATACATACATACATACATAGCTATATGTGCATACACATATACAGTACATACCTGCACACACAGACACACATACATACATGCGTGTGCACATATATTTATGTATATACACTTACACACAAACCCATATATGTGCATGTACACATACATGCACATATGCGATATATATACACATATGTACACCTACCATATACCTGTCTATACCTACATACATATATACACACATAATGCACACATACACATAATGCACATACACACACACATATATCCCTCACAGGGATTAGGTCAGAATGAGGCAAGAGAAAAGGCAAAAACAAAAGCAAACAAACAAAAAAACTTCAGGAAAGGCATAAACTGGAGGAATACTTCTCAGAGGAAAGTTTCACAGACTATAAGACTGTCCCTAGTGTCATTCCCCCCTCTGTCACCTCCCCCACAGTTAGCCAGCCCAAGGTACAGCTCCACCCCCTTGCACCAGTTTTTTGGGGAAGAGATAACCACAGTCCATAAGGAGTTCTAAGGGGCAAGTGCAGAAACCACAGCTCTAGACCTCTGCCCAGCAATTTCCTAATGGCATAAGCAACAACAACATCTTTATTAGGGCTTCCCAACTTGGGGTGTTTGTCCTGCCCACAGGATATATGGCAAGTTTATCAAGAGAGTACAGGAAATAAATGGCAACAATGATATTATCTAATTAAAATATTCCAAAAGTGATAGGAAAAAAAAATATGGATTATAGAAAGAAGAATAACGAGGTGGGGGCAAGATAGAAAAGGTAGAGAATATATCTGAAAAATTTGAGAGTTAAAAGAATAATTCCTTCTGACCAAAATCAAATGAATGAGGTTTGGATGCAAAATCTTTTTCCTAGTGACCTGGAGAAAAAAAGTCAGCAACTATGATCCAGTGAAAGATAAGTTAATTGATCTCTGAAATAACCAGTAAGTCCAAATTTCCAGTCAATGGAATCACATTTTTGGTGCACCCTTGGAGAAACAATCTCATTCTTACTAGATGGTCACAAAGTTTTAATTCCATTTATAACAATTGACTTAATGAATCAAGATTCTTGCTCAAATCCAAAGCAAGAAACAAACCAGGGGCTGAATATGGTATGTGGGTATCTCTTTCAAAAAACAAACTATAAATAAAACTGGGTCGACAAGAAACGAGAATCGAAAGTCTTATTAGTTTGACAAACATTTGGTAACTTTATGATACTAAAAATATTGTTATGTATGGAATAAGATTTGCTTCATGAAAAAAAATATTCTCTTTGATTTCTTATGTGCAGGTACAGGATAAATTCAGGAATTTATTTCTTTTCACATTGAATGGAGAGGTCGGGTACAGACAAGGGAGGATTACTAAAAGCCAAGGGGTACTCCTTGGTGAAACTCACTGTCCTCTATGAATGAAAGAGGTAGCCTTCCCTGCTTCCAGCAGCCCCACCCACAAAATACCACAAAAAACCATCTTTCCTTCACTTCTGGAAGAACAGAAGACTTAGGACTGGGAAGGAAAGCTGGTGGTTGACAGAAGATATGGAATGAATGGATAAAAGTTAGTATCCTAGACAGTCCTCCTTCCCTGGTCAGAAGACTAAAGAAGCTTTTTCTAGACTTCCATCCCTAAGAAACTCTGGGTTAGGCATCAGCACAATTAATTCAGTGCTGAGTCCATTTAATTCATTTGATCAACCATTTATTAATAGCTTACTGTGCACAACTAAAATGCCCATAATCTTTTAACCCAGAGATTCCTCTACTAGGCCATTGATAAGAAGTCACCAAATACAATAAAATAATCACAGCAATACTTTTTGTGGCAGCAAAGAATTGGAAACAAAGTAGATGTCCATTGATTGGGGAATGGCTAAATAAATTGTGGTACTTGAATGTAATGGCATATTATTATGCTGTAAGAAGTGATGGATGTGGTAAATACAAATAATAATGGAAAGATCTACATGAATTGCTGCTGAGTAAAGAAAGCAGAGTCAAGAAAACAATACACATGATGACGGAAACAACGCCAATGGAAAGAACAACCACAAAATAAATCAAAAGGGAATGTTGCAAAATTACATGGAACAAGCATAGCTCAGAAGAGATATCATACGCGTATGTATGTGTGTGTGTGTGTGTGTGTGTGTGTGTGTGTGTGTGTGTGTGTGTATCGTCCCTTAATTGTACCTTCTGGGGAGGGGGGAGAAGGAGGAAAAAAAGAACAAAGAAAAAGTGCACAGTGGGGAACAAAAGAAAACTTACAAGGAAGCAAAGAAAAGATGGACAGCTCTGAACACAATGCATAACATTTATTATATAGTCCTTCTTGAAACGGAAATTTATTGCTGTATATTTTGAATCCTCTCTTACATTCTGCTGTGCGTGTGGTATTGCTTTTTTCCCCTTTTTTTAGTTTGTATTTAAGTTTATAATGTTTCTTTTTCTTTTCTTGTTATGTATTTAAGTTTAAAATAAATTAATTAAAAAAAGGAAAAAAGAGAGGTGATAAGACATGCCCCCGTCCTAACTTCTTGCAGGGGTGAGAGGTCCGTGAATGTGGTACACTGCACATATTTTCAGACTTTTCTTTATGTAGTGATCAGTTTTGCTGACATTTTCCCCTTCTTTTTGTTTTCTTTTGGTCTTTAAAAATATTATTTGTCATATAGGATGGCTCTGGGGAAGGACAGTGGGAGTAATTGTGTGATATTTTAAGAAAAAACACAAAAAGATATCAATTAAAACTCATTTTTAAAATGATTTTTTAAATAGGTTAAATATCTATGTGCCAGATATTATGCTAGGCAGACGGGGTATAAAAACAAAAAGGGGGCACTCAGCAAAAATATTGATTTCTTCAGCCTCTTCACCTAGTGACTAAGATGGGTATAGATGCAGAGGTAGTGAACCTGCAGCCTCAAGGCTACATATGGCCCTCTGGGTCCTCTAGTGTGGCCCTTTGACTGAATCCAAACTTCACAGAACAAATCCCCTTCATAAAAGGATTTGTTCTGTAAAATTTGGGCTCAGCCAAAAGGCTGCACCCAAGGACCTAGAAGGACACATGTGGCCTGGAGGGTGCAGGGTCTTTCCCCCCAGTCTGAGGCTGGGAGAGACCCATACTCAGAGCTAACCTCTAACCCCTCCATCTGCCTTTCTTCTGCATTCTAGCAGGGAAAAACAATATGTACATGGAATAAGTAAATGCCAAGTAATCGGAGGGGGTAAGCCCGAGTAACCAGGGGAAAGTCACTTCTTGTAGGAGGCGATACTTGGATTGAGCAGAACCAGGAGCGTTACAACCACCCCCTTTTGAAAGGGGGACTCACAGACTGGGATGTCATTGGTGCAGGAAACTTAAGAGGAGGAAAACTTCTCTTAGACCTGCAGATGATAAATTGCAGAGCAGTCACCAGTCTCAGAAAGTTTTCTGAAGGCTCTAAGATGTTAAACGACTTGCCCTGGGCCACACAATTGGTATATGTCAAAAGGGCTTGGAGCCGTGTCTCCTGGCTTCAAGATCAGTTCTCTATCTGCTATTCTCGATTATATCATCTTTAACACAGAGAAGAACCACTCACCACCCCCAGCCTTAAACCAAGTCCTCTCTGGTCACTGTATCTGTATGGAATACAACAGTCACAACCCTTTCCCAATACTCAGTTCCTTAAGAAGTAAAACAAGTTTTACTGACTGGGGGGGGGGGGCAAGGAAAGGATTAGTTGCCCCAAAGGGTGGCCAGACTCCTTTCGCACAAAGTCTGTTTGATGTCCAGATACTTCGGGTGACCAGTGCCTTTCTCCTGCCTCACGTAGCTGGTATTGTTAGTCTTACAAGGAGAGGGAAAAGGAAGAGGAGAGAGAAGGATGATACATGAAAGAAAAGAGGAATTAGCAACTTTAAGAAGCCTGGGCCAGATTAGATAACACTCACCCCACCACTACCCATACACACACACACACACACACACACACACTCATGCATGCACGCATAGAGTGTTGGGGGTAAGAGACTGGGTTTGAAAAAGAGAAGAAATGACTATCTTTCTAAGATGTGGCCCATTGGAGAGAAGCTAACTATACATCTGCT